AGGCAGTTTTATATCCTGACATCTCATTCAATTGTACTTTTTATCTGTTCATTGGCTTATGAACAGGAGTGTATGTACGTAGATAGTATAAGAGCTCGAGGACTAAGTGAAGAGCAGGAAACCGCGTAACGATAAGAAACACGATCTAAGCGATGTGTAATCGTTAACTAATGCGAAACGAAACGGAGCCGATACCTTATAAATCGTTCGTGGCCGAACACGCGACCCGCTCTCTCGAATCGTGAATTCTTTATTGATCGCGCGGTCTACCCCCATAAATTGCCTTTACCGCTGGATGCACGGGGTTCGGAGAAATTGTTGTATATCTAGCGTGCACTCGCTCAGCGAAAGTGCAAGTCCAAGTGGCACGATCGTTCCGTTGCCATAATCGGTAAACACTGTTTGCTGTGTTATATGGGAACATCCGATTCCGCTTTCCACTTAGAAACTTCGTTTTTCCTATACGTCGTATTGAACTATTAATTAGTATACTGCAGATTTTTATATAACAAAACATTTCTGATGTCAATTTAAAAAATGAAATCTAGGTCAGATTTTGCCTTCATATTTATTTTTCTAATTGATATCACAAACATCTCACCTTACACAATAATCCACAGTCTATTCGGTATGAAACCGTTAACAATTTTCATTGGTTTAAAGAATTCGTTTTACGATAACTGTGAAACTATTCCGTTTCATTAGGCGAATCATTGAACGTTCCTCGAACGGTTAAATTGGATGAGGGAACGCGAGGTTAAGTGAATTTAGAACGTTCTAAACCGGGCAACAAGCATAGTGGCAGCGTAACTTTTACGATCGAGTAATTTCAGGCTGTCGGAGCGGTCGGATCGGGCAATTTCCCAGTTCCTCTCGGTGGTACGCGGGTAGTGATGGACGATCGCGTGCACCTCTGTTCACGCTTTACATGCGTGGTTCACGTGTCGCGAGGCGTGTCCGCATCTGCACGAGATATATTCAATCGAACCAGATCACTCGGGAAGAAGACATTAAAGCCTTCCCACGTCAATGCCATAGTACCATAAGATAAACGCTTCACACCATTTAATTATGAACAAACTGCAGCTTGTATGGATTTATAATTACTCATATCTTATCGTGTATGAAATTGAATAATATAAATACCTTATTTAATGTATAAAAACATTCATATGTTCGATGTAGATAATAATATTTAAATGATAATTCAATCTAAAATATATTTTTTTTTTATCTGCTGTCATAAATGTTTTATTTTGCGTAAGTTTACTTAAGATGATATTCGATCTGATCTTTTTAATAACAAGGTAAAGTACCTTGGCATAAGAGAAAGCTGGTTTTTGATTGGTTATAAAAACATGATAGGAAACGATGCTTTTAATTAGACAGCGCCGCGCGAATCCTGTGAACCGGCGTCGTTATAAGTGGTATCGGGAGAACGCTCGTGAACGGTGGACGGCAAAAAGCGAAGTGGATCACGCGGCGTGAGTATCGTACGAAGAAAAGCCCTGTCGAACATGGAAACTCGAATACGCGTCGTTCGACTTTCGCGGTCAAGTGTGCCCAGCCATAAGGCGTTGTAAATGTGACAAATGAGGCAGAGACAGAAACCAGTAAGCGTCGCATCATGCAATCTTACCCGAGCTATCCCTATTTTTCAACCAATACTTTTTCATCCTGTCAATGTTTTTTATTCCTAGAATCTAAATCTGTTTCGTAGTTGTAAGACGAATTGATTCAATCTTTAAAGAAATGAAATCGATTTCTGATAGTCATTTTTAATATTTGTCGAATCGATTTCTGATAGTCATTTTGAATATTTTGAACTCTTAGTTCTGTAGATCTATATAATTTCAATTTGATGTATGATTCCTATTATCATAAATCTTATACAATTTCATTTCATAATTTTTATTATAGATTCTGAATCTAATAATGAAATCCGGAAGTATTATTGTATAAAGCGTTTGTAACGCACGGAACAGACTGTGGAGATTGAAAACGAGGCAAATAAAATGAGTAAAAAATGGGAATACTTGAAGACCTTTCTTCGAGACAGAGTTAGCGCCTGTTGAACAAACTTTAAGAACTTGCCAACAGCACCTATTCACGAGCTTTGTAGAATTTCCGACGCTTTCGTGTTTGCTTTCTCGGACAATGTTTGCAAAGATTACTCAAGAATTTCCCTTCAACCGCGAAACCGACGCATGTTAAACTTAAGCATTAGTATTACCACAAACTATTAGGTGCACCAGCAAACCTATCAAGCAATGTATTTTATCTCGTGTTTCATGGAGCTCAAACAAAACACAAACTAATAATTTCCATAATTCCACCAAAATGTATCGAAGAAAACTGCCTCCTTCAGATAGAAATAATAAATTTTTATCTCTTATAGCGAACAGTTCGCGAAACAGCTTGCAACGTTCCTCAGCAACGAATTCCGCGAAACTGTTCGAACGAAGCAAGCAAGTATTTTAATACCATGTATTATCGTCAGGTCCCCCCCGCTGTAAGTACGCGGCCGAGGCTCATTAAACGATTCCGGCGACGAGCCGTCATTATCGGCGCGATAATAATCAATCGAAGACGTTTCGCCGCGAATTAATCGATTTTCAGACGCCGAAGATTGAGTCGCGATCGGACGAGCCTTCTTACACCAAACAATTTTGGTATTTTCAATTTCGTGGAAGGATATCATCTTTTTCAATGGTTATTCGAATACCAGAATGCTCGTTCGATAATTACTAAAGAATTTAATATAAAATATTTTTTAAATCAATAAAGAAAGATGAAATCATGATTTAGATATCTTTTGATATGTTACATGCAAAATTACGTCTATTTTTGCTATACTAATATAAAAAATATATATTATACATTATATTGTCGGTTATCGATAAATACTTTTCATCGTTACTTATATGAAACATTTACTTCAATTAAAAACCGACATCCTTTTTTACATATTATTTAAATCACTATCTATCTTTCCACGAACTAACGACTGCATGCAGAAGCAAAAAGAAATTGAATATGATTTTCGCAAAAGCATATTTCTCGATCGGCAGTTATTACAATTAATTAGCCTGGTTGGAAGGCGCATTTCGCGACAGTGTAACCATCATGAACGAATGGCGAACGCGTGAAATTCGTGGATCGATGGCACGGCTGTCATTAAGACGTCAATTCGTGCACGCCTACCGCGATTTTCGTGTCGTTTATTCGCGCGAGCTTATATACCTACCCTCTCGGTGAAATTGCAGGCCTGCGCAAAACGAAGAAAGCAAAACGCAATAGTGTTGTTGTCCCCGATCGACGCGGCCGTTTAACGCGGGATTGGATAAACGCGATACAATATCGGTAATGACACCCATTAAACGTTTTACGACGTAATGACAGCATCGATATCGATCCGGATACCGCTTGACCTCTGCGCATTCGATTTGCATACGATATTAACGAGACTCGTGGCGAACAGGTTGTTGCTTTAACAATCATCCAGTTGCGTTTGAGATATAGACGGCCGGTTTCGTGTAAAAGTAGATTGTGGCGGTTATATTTTGTGTGTAGTTTTAATTTATATCTCTTCGAATTTTATTGCATCACTTTACTTGTCATTGTACAACCCGTGAATTGATAAAATTTTACACTCTGTGTGTTATTTATTGTATTTATATCTCAAATTCAGAAAATAAATGAAATATAAGAGATATTATCATGATTTATTACAAACCCGGATTTATTCCCTTCGATCAAGAAACACTTTATTAACCTGTGCTCTCTTATTATCTACTATCTTTATAAGACAGTGAATGGTTACGAAAGAACCGTCAACGAAGAAAATCCATGAGCCTCGAGGGATCGGCATCGAGAGAGTGATAAAAGAGCGCTGTCAATGCGGCCTCCGCAAAAATCTCAGTAAATTGTTTCCATTAAAAAAAACGCGAAATTATTGCCATCCACCGCGTCGCTCTTCCTGGTAGCGATTTCTCCCCGCCGGCTTTTATTTTTTTTTTCACTCTTGTCGTTTTTCTCTCGATGGGCCGCGTGCTGAGCGCCGTAGGCTCCCGTGTAAGATACGCGTATCAGAGTGAAGAACTTGTAAACGGAAGAAAAATGCTTCACCCGTTCACGATACACTTTTTTTTGCTGTGGTTGCTTTTGTAACGAGACACTTTTGAGAAATTACAAATTTTCTCTCCTTTAATATTGCTTATACGCATATTGTAAATTATTTAAAAACGGAGTCCTTGCGAAATCGCGAATGAGCAAATGAATTCTTTGCAAATCAAGCGTACTTTAATTTATATGTAAATGCGAGATCACGATTTTCAGTGTGGGATACTTAATTGTAAAAGATCGAAGAAAAGTGCCTTTGCCTGTTCCAACGTAAGTACTTTTGTAAAATCGCGATATTATCAGAAAATGTAGGCAATTTCTATGTTTCGATAATTATGTAATACAAATTCTGGCGTGGTTGCTATTGCGTTATTTAATAATGAATTGCGTATTTTATTTATGCTACTTAACGCTCCATCAGTGCTCAATAACGCTTAACCATGCGTTGAAGTCACTAACTATATCTGACCCAGTCGTTGAAATCGCGCCGAGACTGCTGAGCTCAATTATGATGTGTTCACATTTCAGATTAAAGTCGTTTTATTAAAATTCTGAAGTCAAGTGAATGTACATACTAAGAATTTCCAAAATCTTAGTTTATAAAATTAAATTATGATGCTTAAAAAACTTGTTCGATGACGTAAATATTTGACCGTGCCAATATGTCATTATGATTAGAAAAATAATACATATACTACTATTTAATTACGGTCTGGAGTGTCTTATATCATTTTAATACTAAATAATCGATCACCTATGCGTATATCTTTTTAAATTATAAATAAATTTCTATTTATATCATAGATTACAAATTGGTATGTTATATCCTACATACAAATCCACAATCTACTAGAAAATGTATTTAAATTCTCACTCACCACGGAATCTTGCCGTGCCACGTCCGCGCTATGCTTTAACAACAGTTCCACTGTCTCCAGATGACCCTCTGAAGCAGCTCTCTGCAAAGGTGTGACTCCAGTCTGAAAGAAATCGAAAGGAAAAATTCAAAACAGTTCTCGATAGTCCCTTGTATATGCGAAGCACGTTCATCATTCAAAAACTCGAAATCATGAAAGATTTATCAGTGCGGTGCTTTCAGGCGTTTCTTGTTGTTTTCATTTCTTGTTGGACGATTGAAAAATTTATATAGAAATTTATGTAAGACTTCTAAAAAGTCACAATTTTCGAATAACGACGTAGATAAGACGTCTTACCCTTTCTCTAAAAGAGGTTTAAATAACCAAGAAGAGGCCCATTAAAGATATAGAAATTCTCTTAAGTAGACCAAGAACTGTCTACCTCTGAGAAACTGTCACGCATAAATTCTTGACCGTGATGTTTCACATATACCTAACTTGGTACCGTTAAGTAGAAAATGGGAGAAAAAGCGGCTTCGACGGGTTTGAACATGGGATTCGATTCAGATAAGTGTGAAACGTCAAGCTCAAGATTATTGTCCTCGGGCAATCTCCTAATTCCTTTCAAGTATACTTATCTGTCCACTTTTAATTCTGTAGACTATTTCGATTTGAAAGAAATATTTTAAACTTTTCTTTCATTTTTGAAACTTTGTTTTATATGCATGATTTAGACAAGTGAAAAATGATATTGTATTAAAAAATCAACATTCCAACAAGATGAAGATTGCTGAAGTCGAAGAACTTCGTTGTTAGGAACACGTTGATCCGCTTATCGGACGATCGAATTCCGTGATTAACTTATCGTGCGTGCGATGCACGCCACTTTCAGTGTTCACAATTACACAAAGTAAAAAATCTGTAGACGCGGAACATGAGAGGTTCTCGTTAGATTTATAAGCAGATACGATGAAGACGTTATCGGATCATCGATGTGCACATCAGTCTGAGTTGGCAATATTTCCACGGATTGCACGTTGTCAAGATTCACCGAAACCGTTTGTCAAAATTCTTTGTAAATCAAGAATCTCTTCATTCCTATTTTAATTTTACACTTTAAAATATGTGATTGATTGATCTGTTGGAAAGTGTTATTTCAAAGAGGAATTGCTGTGAAATGAATTCATTGGAAATCCTATGCGTCTCAATTTATAGCAAGAGATTACAATTTTCAACTTGAAGCATTAAATCGTTGATATATCGTTTCCATTATTAAGGAAAATATGAATTATAGACAAATGAGCTGTGGAGTCGACGTGACAAAATGGAACGCTTCGCAATCAGAACGACGAAGACGTATCAGCATTTCAGCAATAATTCCAACGCGGTAGGTAACCGACGCATGCTCCATAAATCATGAACCTATCCCTTCGAGCGAAAACTTCACCCCCGCCCTTCGTCAGGCATGTATAGATTTCTGAAGCCCGACACGAAAATCGTCGAGGCTTACGACTAACCGGGATAAAGAGTTCCTTTTTTTCTTAGCAACGCGACGCGTGCACTCATGAATCATTCAAATTGCCTGCGAGTGATGAAACTTAAGCGTCGCCTCTTTAAAAGAAAATGCGAATACAGTTTCCTTTTTTGAGTCACTTTCCTACTCTTCGTTTTGCTTTAACAGGTTCGATAATGAAATATGATCGGGCTAATCGCGAGCTTGTTTGTTCATCGCTACATCCCCTATTCAATTTTCGTCATCCGAACCAGTGATTCAGTTGCTCAGAGTGGATAATATAATTGGAGCACACAGCAATAATTCAAGAGATGTAATACATAAGAAACTTCCAGTCGAGACAACGAAACGGTCTAAGGATTTTTTACCAAATATTATTCAATGACTTCTGAATTTATAAAAAACAATTTCGAGCGATATTGTAGATATAGAATAAAATGAGTGATTATAACATTTAAATTTATAATTATTATGTTACACCATAATGCAATCATTATAGGATTTAATTATTGGAATTCATATAATGAAACGAAATGTCAAAACAGCAGATCTGACATTCGTTAAAATTAACTCTCAATTATGTTCGCTGTTAAAAATATCAAAAACGAAGGAATACCTTGTCATCGGTGTTACCCGAGCCCTCATTGTCGCGTTCTTAACGGTAAGAGCAACGCCCAGCTGGAGCCTAATCCCGGATTAAACGTCGCCGGCATACAGCTGACACGCGAAGCCCAAGCTTACTTCCGGCGAACGGTGGAACGTGACAAGCCGTTGCAAATGCTTTTTACATTAACTCCCTCCAGCTGAACGATTCGTTTTTCGAGAGGTATTTCAAATTGCGATATTTCATCCCTTTTGCTTTTGGTAATAATAAGAATTTGAGTGACAGAATATTAAATCAATTTTGATTAAAACTATTGCACGTATAAAATGTATTAAATTCCGACGGATAAATCAAAATGATTAACCAAGTATAAATCCATATAATAAGTTCAGAGATCTACGTGAAGGACGATTCGTACAAAGCGGAAATAAATCAGAAAGGCGAGCGGATACGTCGCGTGGTGCCGCGGAAACACTTGTTCGCTCGAAACGCGAGAGGAGAGAGAGAGAGACAATAGGTTTTCACCGGGGCAATCGTACTGCGCGACGGTAGAAGCTACGTTATGGCCACTCGTCGTTAGTTAACGCCATAAATGGGAATGGGGCACCGGACGAAAGTTCATGATGTACGCTGTTACGTCAATTACGCGCTTTAGTCCGCGACGCAGGGGCCTCTGGGCTTCCATCACGTAACGTTGAAACGCGCCCGGACGTTTCGACGTCCTTTACGCGACGAGCTGCACCGAGGAATCTAAATTAACCAGCCTTCGTCCGAGTCCCCTGTTGACAACCACCGCTTAATATACATAGTTTATTTTACTGGCTATTGTGCACTATGTTCGGGGATTCACGTAGCTGAAATTTACAAGCTTGGCTCGAAATTCCAAAACCCTTAAGTCAGCAAGTCTTTTCATTTCAGTGGAGTCCATATTTTTGAAAATTAAGAAAATTAAGACTCGAGATTCCAAGCTCCTTACTTTTTAAGAATTATTATGTTCTTACTGGGATATAATTTTAGGTTTCTCTTAAATCAACAAGTCTTTATTTCAAAGATCAAATATCTTTCAATCTCGAATTTTTCAAATTCCTAATTAACTCTGAAGTTCAGAAACAACGCGATATATTGGAAGTTAAACTAAAAAGTGCAGGAGTGTCATTTCAGATTTCAGGTTTCGCAAGTGTTCATTAGAATGTATATACGAAAAGGTGTCGGTTAGTTTCAGGTATTGGATAACTATAAAATAAATACGTTGGGGACGGGTATATGTTCACAGAAATGCGTTCTCCCACGCACGATCGACGAGTATCCGGAGGAGTGTTTAATGTATTCACCCCTCTTTTCTAGAAGAGTCAGCCGAGGCATGCTAATTGCCTTTTGGACAATAGTGGGATACCGCGTCGGCATGCGATTCTCTGGCCACGTTCTACCTTACATCGGACATAATTTCGTTTCATTTCAGCTGTCCTCACTCTTCAACAATTCTATTTCATTCTACACAGAATGAATCAATAAGGACAATCACGTGATGATATCATTTATGAAATCATATTATAATTCATGTTGACTCAACCCGATATAAAATCATTTGCAATGGAGACACGTTCGAAATTTCTCTTTTTCACAATCTACCCTTGCGCAACGTACTAATGCCGTTACCATTTAGCCCGTGCCTTGCATGGAACAATGGACAAGTAGGACTTGTACAATGCACAATTCAAAGCGAACAGTTAAAAAATCTTAACGCAACTCTCACTATTCCAGTCTAATAAACAAAAGAGCAGGGTCGGAAATTTATTAAAAAGGCCTACAAATCAAAATGTCAGAAGTTGAACTTGATCTGAGATAGCAGTATTCTTGGCGTGAAACACGCAGAACAACAGGGGTTCAGAATTCACTGAAGGACAACCCGAAATAAAACCGGCCTGCGCTTTTATCATCCAAATAAAGGCGGGTCCGAGCGAAACGGCAGAGGACAGCCAGGAAGAAAGTTGCAACGACACCGTAACATTCGTTTAACTAACAAGCTACAACCCGAGCCAAGCGAGGGAACTGTTAAATCATCCTCTGTACCAGCGTGTATTTACCGAAGGATAAAACGTCCAGTCTCTCCTGAATTTATTGCGCGTCCTTGATTTATCTCTGCATCCGAGGGAGAACAGCCAGAGAAACCATTGATGAAAAAAGTCATGGTTCAAGGGTATGCATTTGTTTCTTTAAGGCACTTCTATCTATTATCAATCAGATTTTGTTCAAACTTAGTACATTTCTAGGTAAAGCTTTTAAAAAGACGTAGTCAAATTTTTAGAGACTGAGGGTTAATTCTATTACCGCTAGGACTCCCTTAAGTGCGATTTCTAGAATTAATAATAAATTCTTACAAAAATGCTGCAATCCGTGATGTAAAACGTGATAACTTAAACAAAAATCAGTGAGGACGCTCATCACTGGGATTCCCTATTTTACACAATTTTCATATTTTATTGGTCCTGAATTGGCAGCGTTTTCTCCGGAACAATACTCGACATGAAATTCGTAGATATTTAAAAAATTTTCGGGGTTTAAAGTAGATTGAAGGCAACATGTTACGAGGGGGTTTCACGTTCGGGGTAACTACCCCTAAGCGACCGTGTGGCCTAACGGATAAGGCGTCGGACTTCGGATCCGAAGATTGCAGGTTCGAATCCTGTCACGGTCGAAACAATTTTTTATTTTTTCCCATGAGAACAAAGACACACCTTCGTACAGAGTGAGTTTGAGAAGGAACAGCTGATAAAACTTTACTTGTACGAGTGAACTTTCTCCAAAGCATTATTTTGTAGGTATTTGTGTACAGTAAAATAAATTATAACAGACACAACCCCTAAACTATTGTCTACTTACTTATTAGATACTGTAATTTCCGTTTTTCTCAGAGTCGATCCCTCTATTTTATACGGAGTCAATTTTACTGGCTTAATAACATTTTTCAAATCTGTTTTAATACGACAAATGATGTATAAGATAGTA